TCCCTACATTTTTTCTTTCCACTGCTTTCTGATGGTTCCTTTCTGAATTGTTTCGGAGGCTAATGTCATAATTGCTCTGAACCTACTTAGGAAGGTAAGGGGGTAAACAATATTCTATTTTTAGCTTTTCATTTTATACCTTTGACTTTTTTTTTTTTCGCGGTATGCGGGCCTCTCACTGTTGTGACCTCTCCCGTTGCGGAGCACAGGCTCTGGACACGCAGGCTTAGCGACCATGGCTCACGAGCCCAGCCGCTCCGCGGCATGTGGGATCTTCCTGGACGGGTCACGAACCCGTGTCCCCTGCATTGGCAGGCGGACCCTCAACCACTGTGCCACCAGGGAAGCCCTCTTTGACTTTTTTTTTATATCTGATTTTTTTAAGTGAACTTTCCTGACAAACATACTTATATTGTTAAGTATGCTTGCCCAGAATCAACCTCTTCACAGTTGGTTTAATGACACTCATATTCCTTTTAGGAGATGGCTAGGTTAGAGAAGTGAAATATTTTATTTTCTTCTTTTTTCCCACTCTGTTTTTTAAAAAATCATTTATAAATCATGTCAGCTTAGTATTAACCTACATGGCATGCCTCTCCACCTGTGTGGGCATGAAGTGAAGCTGCTCACTCACCATCTTCTCCCTGCCTTTTCCCCACCAAACCATTTTGTCCCCTCCAGGCCAGTCTAAAGAAATGATAATTTAGGGCTTCCCTGGTGGTGCAGTGGTTGAGAATCTGCCTGCCAATGCAGGGGACATGGGTTCGATCCCTGGTCCGGGAAGATCCCACGTGGGGCAGACCAACTAAGCCCATGTGCCACAAGTACTGAGCCTGTGCTCTAGAGCCCGTGAGCCACAACTACTGAGCCCGTGACCTGCAACTACTGAAGCCTATGTGCCAAAGCCTGTGCTCTGCAACAAGAGAAGCTACCGCAGTAAGAAGTCCACGCACCACAACAGAGTAGCCCCCACTCATGGCAACTAGAAAAAGCCCACGCACAGCAACAAAGACCCAACACAGCCAAAAATAAATAAATAAAATAAATATTAAAAAAAAAGATAATTTACAAAATAAACTGTGATAAAAGAAAATGTGAATAAAAATTTTATCTTCTAGGTTTTATTTCTAGCTTGCCTTCATTTTCTATATGGAGCCATCTCCTATATTCTGTTACTATGAAAAGAACACTGCATAATGGTATTGACAGTATTAACAATCTAAGAGGATGGGAAAGTAATGAACATTTGCTGAGTACCTATTGTTTGCTGGGAATCACTCTAGGTGCATTATATAAACTATCTTGCTAAGTCCTCCATCCAGCCCTGGAGAGATATTAATATGTCAATTTTTGGACAAGGAAATCTAAGCTCAGTGACTTGCTGAAAACCACATGGCTGGTAGTGGAAGAGCTGAGAGTCCCCCTAGGATTGGCAAATGCAACCGTAGTATATTTCTGGAGAATATGGTTTCTTCTGGATGACATTTGAAAATTCCACTTCTTTTGTTATTTTTTTTAAATTTTTTAAAATTTTTATTGCGGTACACAGGCCTCTCACTGTTGTGGCCTCTCCCGTTGTGGAGCACAGGCTCTGGACGCTCAGGCTCAGCGGCCATGGCTCACGGGCCCAGCCGCTCTGCGGCATGTGGGATCTTCCCAGACTGGGGCACGAACCCATGTACCCTGCAGCAGCAGGCAGACTCTCAACCACTGCGCCACCAGGGAAGCCCTGGAAAGGTTTTAAATTTATTTTAAATTTGCAGTAGTGTGTTTTTGATGTTAGTATCATATTCTTGCTCTTGTACCCAAATTATAGCAGGGTTACCACTGACATGCACTTATATTTACTTAAAGGCAAATGTGCCTGCTGTCCTGGGTCAAAAATATATTTTTAAGTGTACTTGAGTTTTCCTGTGAAATAATTACAGTTTTTTTCCCCAAGGTTTACCTTATTTGCAAATGGAAAAGGCAGGGAAACCATGACTCTATTCTGCCCTCTAGAGCTATGTTAGCACATCCACTGTTAAAGGGTATGTGAACTTCACTTAGAGTTGTCTCAACTTGGGGCTGGACTAGCATTGAATATAATCCATTACTATACATATTGAATCATATTACAAACCTCATTTCAAATCTCTATATTGTATATTAGCCTCTATAGAGAATCCCAAGTAGATTCTCATGACGTTTGTTTTGTATTCACTTATTAATTCATTCACTTCCTATCTCATTCAAAAAGAAAAGTTAGAGGTAATTATGTCAGGACACTAAGCTAAAAATGTTCCATCTTCCTTTTTCTCCCCCTAAATTATAGCAGATAACTTCCTTGGTAGAGACTACTTATTAATATTTGGAGAGATAGAGAGAAGGGAAAAGAAATTAAAATTTACTCACTAAGTTGAGTAAAACACAAGGTGGACTAATTTGTCTACCAGATGTTTTAGTAATATTCCATGAGAAATTCCAAACTTGTGCAAATGTTGCGTCCTACTCGACAGCAAACTATATAGATTCAGGTGCCAGGGACTTGTAAACACAATGTCAGTGTTTGCTTGAAGTTTGAAGTAATTTTTCTTATAAGAAAAACAAATGTACAGTTCTGCCTTAAGAGGTCTCAGGAGACTCAATCTCAAGAGAATCTTCAATATAATCAATATACTCCTCACTGAAACATGTAATAGGATTGACAACAAAGGTATTGAAGGAGTTTTAAAATAATCCAAATATTTTAAACAACATTACTAAATCACAGCACAAATTCTATCATAAACTACTATATTAGGCACAGCACTTTGGGATGTAACCACTCACTTGCCATCATCATCATCAATTATGAGTAAAAACAAGTCACTTTTGTCAGCATCAACACTTCAGCTGTGAGTTTGATCATTTCTTTACAACAGGACTGTGTGTAAGCACAAAGTAAGGCTGTCATATTAAATATGTATATACACACACACAACCTTTATTATCATGGAAAGGAAACCCACTAGGCTTAAGGATCTCACGTAAATTTACAACTTATTTCTGCGTGCAGCACCTCTGGGCAATGCATTACATCATCTGAGTTACAGAATCCAGATCAAGCATATAGTCGAAGATCAGAATCACAGCCACACAACTGTCTGTCATTTTACAATATCATCTTTTCTGGAAGGAAGTCGTAACTTAATATTTTTTTATAGACTAAATCATATTTAAACACACTAAGGAAACCAAAGAAATGACGTTGGGCAAGTTATCTAACTTCTCCGTGTCTTGTTGCCGTATATCTAAAGTAGAGAGGGTACAGTCTACTTCAAAGGGTTGTTGTGGGGAAAAATGAGACAATGTATGTAAATAGCACTTGTCAAGGCACCACAGCCGGAATAGGTAGTATTATTGTGGTTATCATTGTTGGTTAAGGTGAAGATCACTGCCATGTGTGAAGAGTTAGCTCCTATTTACCAGGTCTTTCTATGTCAGGTTTTCTTTGGGCACAGTGTACAGCATCTGAGGTCGAGCACTTTGAACTTGGTAAAATTGCGCTATCTCATCACTGCCATCCGCAATATCCATATTTCGCTGTTATTATATTTTAGCCAAGTGCATGTCAGTGGAATTACAGACACGGAAGAAGAAAGAATTAAAGAAGCTGCTGCTTACATAGCCCAGAGGAATCTCCTTGCTAGAGAGGAAGGAGTCACGGCAGCCAAGCAGTCCACAGTATCCAAACAGTCCACGTCCATGCTTCGCCAGGAGGAAGGTTTTGAGAAGTCGAGGAAAGTTGCAATTCGAGAAAAGGCAGAACACCTGTCACTGAAAAAAACGGTAAAAAAAAGACAATTTAATATAACTTACAAAAGTAGAAATGCTACCACTATACATAAAGTAGATAACGAGTAAGGACCTACTGTATAGCACAGGGAACTCTGCTCAATACTCTGTAATGGCCTATATGGGAATAGAATCTAAAAAGAGTGGATATATGTATATGTATAACTGATTCACTTTGCTGCACAGCAGAAACTAACACCACATTGTAAATCAACTATACTCCAATAAATATTAATTTTAAAAAGTAGAAATGCATGTAACATTGTGTATATGTGTGTTAATATAGATTAATTAGCTTCAAATGAAGAAATATGTGGTCTTGCGGAGAAACAAAAGAAGGAAAAAGACATCAAAATGTATAGGTCAAAGAAAGACACACTTAATATTTAAATTCTGTGAAATTTTAGTTTCTATAGAAATTAAAGTTCTTGAAGAACCTTAAGAAATCCACCTTAGAGAAGTAAAATATGTTGCTCAGGCTTACAATGTTAAAAATTAAGTGATGTGTCTGTTTTCAAAAGGGGTGACGGGAATTCGTTTGAAATGAATGCAAAAGTAAGGCTCCACATGAAAAAAATGATCATTTTGATTTCTACATTACATTTTTGTAGCACGTTACTTTGATTTCATAATATGTTGATTTTTTTTTCAGTTAGAAGAAACTGAGGCATATCATAAAAAGTTGAATGAAGATAGTCTTCTCCATGCTCCTGAATTTGTCATTAAACCTCGTTCCCACACTGTTTGGGAGAAAGAAAATGTAAAATTACACTGCTCTGTAGCCGGCTGGCCAGAACCTCGGCTCACATGGTATGCTATCATTATGAAAATTTCTCATAGAATCGATTACTCAAAGTTAATTTTACCTCTTGTGGAAACATGTGACATTGTGAATATGCAAGAGTCAGTGAAAGCATCTACAAATTTGAATAGATTTTTTAAATAGTGAAGAAAGAATACATATATGGAAGGAAAGAAGAGTCTTGCATCCATTACGATTTATTATACTTTATAATCCTATTATACAAATGGGTCTTTATCTTATATAAAGTGTTAAAGTTTAGTCAGCATATTTATTTGGTATCATTTTGTGATGAGAAGTGATACCACCTTTTTAAAAGTACTTAAGACCCAGAGGGCTCCATCTCTACTCCTCACATGAGCTGAGGTCTTAATGTGTTTTCTAAAGCCAAAAAAAAGAGGTAGCTGTTACAACTATGGGGCCTGAAGAAATTTTTGTTCCATACGAATATGTTCCCCTTTTTTCCATCCATTATATATCCTATTGCAATTGTCAATGACTTTGTGATCCCTAAACTCAGAACTCTCCCATCATTCGGCATGAATGTCTGCCATAGAGAACAGAAGTCTGAAGAGGATTGTGGGCCAGTTTTTTTTTTTTTAACATCTTTATTGGGGTATAATTGCTTTACAATGGTGTGTTAGTTTCTGCTTTACAACAAAATGAATCAGTTATACATATACATATGTTCCCATATCTCTTCCCTCTTGCGTCTCCCTCCCTCCCTCCCACCCTCCCTATCCCACCCCTCCAGGCGGTCACAAAGCACCGAGCTGATCTCCCTGTGCTAACCAGTTTTAAAAGGCGTTTTCCATCAGGGGTATTTTGCATACAGTTCCCTTATCCTCGGGAGTGGCGGTAAATATGCCTTATGTCACAGTATAAACACTTCATAGAATAGCACTGTCACCCAAAGAGCGCCTCTCTCTTCCTCTCTTTTCTGTAATTTCTAATGTTCTTTGGACACCTGGCTAGCGTAATGGAGGTGGCTGACAAGATAAACTGCTAACTAAGGTTATTCTTAAGGAGCAGGTGGTGAGTTGTGTTTTTTTAAAATTTACCTGTGATATCAATCTGCCTGTGGTAATATTGGATTTACTTACAGTTTTTCTTGTATGTTAACTCTTTCCAGGGTTCTTGAGTTTGAAAACCAAAGAATGAAACCAAAGCCAGCTCTATATTACCAAGGCAAATAATTTATAGTAAACAAAGATGATAAATGTAGGAACATATTTAGATGAAAATGAAGTTTAAAAAATCAATTTCCAAGCTTTAAAAGTATAAGAGTATACTTTAGTAAGTTAGGAATCAGTCCATCTTTGCCCACCTTTCTCTCTACCTATAGAGTTGCACAAATTGGCCTATCAAAGGGACATTTCCTCTTAAAAAACTGATTACTTCCCACCTCAGAAAAAAATCCAAACTTTCCTATAGAAATACATAAAGAATAACAAATTTTTAACTCCAAGAAATATTACTTGAGATTCACTTTGTTATGAAGCAGAAACTAACACACCATTGTAAAGCAATTATACTCCAGTAAAGATGTTTAAAAAAAAAAAATTACTTGATGAGTAAAAAAAATTCTCATCTTTCATGAATTAAAATGTATTACCAATAAATGAATCATTGGAGTCCTTAAGTAGATATATTTATTACACAGTGTCCTATCTCTGTTTTCCTGATTTTTAAACATCAGAGTTAAAGATAATTTTCAAAAGAATACAAAGTAATCTCTAGGAGGTAAATATTAATTTCTTAAACATTTATTTATTCCGTTAAATACATAGCAACTAGAATAAAAACATGCCATGTACCACTGATGGTGTTACTAAGCCAGAGTAATGGGGCTCTACAAAGGCAGAGCTCTAATTCTGTTAAAGATTAAACTCCTTACATAGTGCTTTGTGGGCTGAAAAAGGAGTGATTTAAAAACAAACAAAAATAAGCAAATGAGTAAATATGTTTATGTTAAAAAAATAAAAACAAACAAAAAAGATTAAAACGCCACAGAAAAAATATGAGATGACTAAATTGTCAACCCGTAAAACTCCAGTCAAATTGGAAAATAGAAATACTGTCAGTTTTTGGTTTTTCTTTTTTGGCTGAGTTGGGTCTTTGTTGCTGCATGCGGGCTTTTCTCTAGTTGTGGCGAGCAGGGGCTATTCTTCGTTGCAGTCGCAGCCTTCTCATTGCGGTGGCTTCTCTTGTTGCCGGGTTCGGGTTCTAGGCACGTGGGCTTCAGTAGTTGTGGCACATGGGATCAGTAGTTGTGGCTCGCGGGCTGTAGAGCGCAGGCTCAGTAGTTGGGGCGCATGGGCTTAGTTGCTCCGTGGCACATGGGATCTTCCCGGACCAGGGCTCGAACCTGTGTCCCCTTCATTGGCAGGCGGATTCTCAACCACTGTGCCTCCAGGGAAGCCCATACTGTCAGTTTTTAGTTATCTTCACTAATGGGGCTGAGAAGAAGTATGATTGATCCCTCAAATCTTTCACATTTAGCTTTGAAGTATTTATTTCCTTAACGTATGAATTTTATGGCCTAGGGGTTCATTTGAATCAAAAACAAAGGCACAGAGGCAAGATTTGTCTCAGGAATGATTGGGAGGCTGTTTGGGAGGCTGTCGTTGACTGGAACAAACCTTCTCTAGTTCCCGTGACCCCTTTTGTGCTTGGAGAAGTCAAATCCATTCTGTATTAAGAATTCTCCCAGTAGGGACAGATCAGACCATTTCACAGAAAGTCCTGTTGCCTTGCAAGTCAAGTGAGAAGTAAATATGAAAACAAAAGAACCAGTGGACCACTAAGAAAATAGTTCACCTTATTTAGCAAGCAAGATTTGCCCCTGGATAAAGCTGAAATTTGGACCATCAGCTAGAAGATAACTGAAAATTGGCTGTGGCAATAAATAAGGTCAGATCCAGGTTTTGTGGGGCATAAGAGTTATACAATTTGAGGAGCATTTTTACAAAAAAGAATATAAAGTTAAGTCATATGCATTAGGCACAGAGCCTTATGGGGACCCATGCTGATGACAGACCCTGAAACTTGAGCTTCACTGGTTTCAAGGTAAATCCACCTCTGAGAGTAAACTTCCATGTAGGATTGATTATAGCTTGCCGGGTACGTTGCGTTTTTAAAAATAATCATGAAACGAAGCTCTAATTTACTTTGCAAGCTGCTGGTCCCGAGTATGCGATCTTCAGTGAGCATCCTTCCCCTCAATGAGCAGGGAATCCATGACCTAGCAAGAACCACGGTTGGTGGTGACTAATTTGCTGGCATTTATGCCTCTTTTGTACCCAGCTGCAGCTTCCTGGGCCTGACACTGAGTATAAGTATGAAAGAAATAATTGAGAATGACCTTACTGAATAGAAGAAGGGAAAGTACAGAAATAAGTGTGTGATGTTGCTGCGGGCAGTTGTGATGCCTCCGCTTGAAGCCTTTAGCTCTCAAAGGCATGTGTGCCTGGGGCCTGGCTCCCTCAGACTCCTTTCCAAAGAGGGTTCAGTTCCAAGTTTCCACTGGGCACCCTCAGGTCATGGAAGCCCCTGAGGTCTAACAAATGATAACACACAGCAGCTGCTCTTTGGCCAACCCCGCGTACTAACTAAATCCGTCTGGATGGAATCTAGAGGGTAGCAGGGGAGCGCTCACTGACAGGCGAGCCCGTCATTCATCAGGGCCCGGTGTGGAGACGCTGAGGTCACTTTCCGAGCAGAAGGAAGCCTGTGGGCTTTGCGTCCGGTAGAAAAGTTAGCTGTAGATGACGCTGCTGCACCACCACAGTGAAGCAGGCCATCCGGAAGGAGGGCTTGTCAACAGAGAAGGAGAAATCTATATGTGGTGAAAAATCAAAGCTGTTTTACTTAATAGGCTATATTTACATAATAACTTGTTTAATAGGCTATATATTGGTTTAAAAGGGGAGGAAAAACATTTATGTTTGTATCCATATTACTTGCATAAGGAAGCTCTGGAAAGCTATGTAAGAATCTAAGGAGAACAGCTAGCTATGGGGAGGAGCTGGGCAGAAGGCAGACAGGTTTGAGGAAGGAGAATGTTTTCTGGGCACCCTGATATTTTCTGGTCCTTGAACCATATGCCTGTATTGCCCAGTCAAATTGTAAAAACTATGTGAAATGAGGGAGAAAAGTTCTCTTTAAGAGAAGGAGAGAATTGCATTAATTTTACACTTCTTTTTTTAAAAAAAGAGCCAGATTTAATTGCATTTCGAGCCCAAAGTCTAAATCAGTTTTTTCAATGGAAGCCTGGATTGTAATCTGCAGGGAGACTCACACAAACCCCCTGAAGCAATGTGTTAGTGTTAGTGAGGATTAGTATTAGTCTAATGGTCACTCAATACCCAAGTTTTCAGATGTGTATGTGGTTACTGGGCTAGATCCTCACGCAAGACACTTAAAAATACATATTTGAAATTCTTCAGATTATCCCTGAAGTCATTGTCAAATAGACAAAGATATTTGTCATTAGGCATGATAAGAGTTCAAAACCTGGGAATAAAATAGTACGAGAAATGTATCTTAGGAAGAGTCCAGAGATTTGGAAAAGCCTTAATCTATTTTTGCAAATTATGCGAATTCACAAATTCCATGATAGAATCATGTATTGAATTTGTTTATAAGATTAGAGTTATTCACAATGTATTTAAATTTAGCAATTACTATCATATTATCTTAGGAAAACAGCCTGCGTTTAAAATAGTTAAAAATTATTTATAATTACTTCCCAGGTATAAGGGTTTGGGATTTTATTTTAGATTTTTCTTATTTATTTAAGTCCAAATTCTATGCTAATGGAATAGCTCTCTCTCAGCTAATTGGTTTTTAAAGTAACAGCTATTTATTCAAAACAGTAGGGTTGCATTCTAAGTAGCAACCACACTTGCAGGGGTATTCAACATGAAAAGATCATTTTGGCAGGCATTATTTGCTGATAGAGAAAAGTTAGAGTGAAGCCCTTTTGTTTGACCATGCTGTACACTGC